TGGTTGTTCTCTGGCACACAAACTGAAATAATAAAGGATAAGAAATGTTTTAGAAAAAATATCTATTAATGTAATGAGTAGCCCTACCTCCAAAGAGTAGATGTTATGTCTCATTTATAAAAATGGAGTACCATACAGAGAAAAAAAATCTTTACATATAAAATATAATAGTACTGACATAATATACCATCAACATGCAAAACATATTGTTAGAATATACTAAGGATATATAAAGAACATCAAGTACAGTGATTTGACAAGTCTGTAACAGGTCTTAAGTATGTGCATATTAAATAAAACTATAATTAAATAATGTGAGTTCCCCAGTTGAAAATTGCCGACCTAGTAGATGCTACATTCAAATTAAAGTTGTGATTGAGGTACCATTTTAAGAAATAACTGAAATTATGATGATAACACCATGCTGTGATTGTCTAATATCAGGAAAAACAGCATTAAGAAACTTCATGTGCAATGAGGACATCTACAAACCTCTAGGGATTTTTTCATACACTATATAATTCCTGAAATATCTGCGTTTAACGCTTTACCACACAAATTTAATCTGGGGAAGACAAAGTATCTCTTCTGCTTTGACAGCTCTTTCCATGCAGCTCCCTCATAGTAAGAATCAAATAAATCTAATTATTTCTATCACTTCTTTTTTTGCATTATGAAAAGATAAATCCTTTGCAGTTTTCCCTCTGCAAATCTCAAAGACAGTGTTAGGTGCAAAAAAAAATATCATTTAATATCAATTTGGGCTGATGGTACATACCTGTAATCCCAGTCCTAGGGAGGCTGGGACAAGTTCAAGGCCAGCCTGGGCTACACAGCAAGACCCTGTCTCCAAAAAAAATCACCTTGGGGGAAGCAAATAATAATAATAGTAGTAATAATAATGCAATGTGAACATCTCATGTGGGTAGGATCATAAATTACTGTGAAATAATACTTGATTTAAAGTGACAATAAAATATTTTAAATAAACATAGCCAGTGACATGATGATGAAGGTTTTTTTCCTGTGTGTGAAACTTTGTTCTGTTAAGTTATCAAGGACATCATAAAGTCAGCATAAATCAGACAACATTATTCTGATAAAACATAGGATCTTTTTTCTTTTGGGGTGTATGGGGATGCTGGGCGTGGAACCCAGGGCCTCATACATGCTAAGCAAATGCTCTACCATTATATCCTCACGCTTGTTCTACATTTTTATTTTGAGACAGGGCCTCGCTAAATTACCCAGGCTGATCTTGAACTTGCAGTCCTCTTGCCTTAGCTTCCTAAGCAGCCGGGATTACAGGTGTGGGCCACCATGCCCAGCTATGATCTTTGTTCTTTGGGCAACCTACACAGAAGGAAAAGAATAACCTTTCTCAAACTTGTATCCATTTCCTCCCTTTTTTTTTTTTTGGAAAGAAAACTGCCTGTATTTGTAGATACTATGATGCGGTATATAGAAAACTCAATACAATTCTACACATTTTTTTTCAGTTTGCTTCTTTTTTATAGCAAAACATGTATGGGTACATTTTAGGCATATATAATGATAATGCTCATCATAGGAAAAACTATTAAAACTAATAAGTTCAGCAGGCTTACTAAATACAAAATCACCATAGAAAAATTAAGTACATTTTTATCTGTAAAACTAAACATTTCAAAAAGAAGATGAAGAAAAATTCTAAGCATAGTAGTATCAAAACAACAAAATGCATAGAATAAATTTAACAAATATACACAAGTCTTGTACACAGAAAAATATAAAATCATTGCAAAAACTTAAACACAGAAATAAGTTTGAAGCTATCCTATGTTCAGAAATTCAATACTAAATATTGTTATGATGGAAATACTACCGAAAGTGATCTACAGATTTAAAGAGTTGATATCTATAGCTATCAAAATCCTTACTTCTTGCTGCTCTAACCCAATCGCCAAACACTTAACGTCTTCAAATGGTAGACATATTATCTCATAGTCCTGGAGAGAGGAAGTCCAACCTTAGCCCCACTGGACTAAAGTTAAGTGTCAGCAAGATTGGTTCCTTCTGGAGGCTCCCAGAGAGAACACATCTCCTTGCTTTTCCCATTTTCAGCTCCTTTCATCTCCTTCTCCCACCTCAAAACCAGCAGCGAAGTAGTATCTCTTCCCCTCTGCTTCCCTTTCCATACCAGCATTTCTCATTCAGGGCCTCCAGCCTCTCTCCTATAAGCAAACTTCAGAGTTCGCTGAGCCCATCAGATGATGCAGGGTAATCTGCCTGCCTCAACATCTTTAATTTAATCACATCTACAAGGTTCTTTTTACCGTGTAAGGTGACAACTCTGCAGGTTCTGGGGATCAGGATGTGGACATCTTTGAGGGAGCTCATTATTAGAAGATTAATAATTTCTCATTTTTACAGAGAGAGAAACAAGGCCTAGTTTTTCACCAGTGTATCTGAGATTAAATCTCTTTATTAAAAGCTTATAGGGCCGGGGATTTAGCTCAGTGGTTTTGTCGCCTGCTGCGCAAGTGCAAGGACCCGAGTTGGATCCCTGGTACCAAAAAAAAAAAAAAAAACCTTATAAATAAGATTATAAATCTTATAAATACAAAAACTTAGCCAGATTTGATGATAACAAAATTTTCTTTTCTGGAATGTTCTATTGCTCTCTATATCCACTCAGTTTGCCATTTTTTTCTCTTTCTGGAACAACCAGACTGGTTTTTCATTTTACTTTTTCACGTAACAAACACATCCTAACTTCAGCTCCTGAGAACGTTTCTTTTTCAATCAGTCACCCTCTCCTTTGACTTCTGTTCTCTTCTTCCTCTGCTATTACCAAGAAAAAAAGAGGGACCCTCTTCCAGACCTTCTCTGGCCAGAGCCTAATCTCCACCAATGTTCCCCCTTTCCTGTCCTGAGAGTGCTACCTCACCTCACTATTTGTATTTCCACATCTCCCATTGACCCCTTAAATTCACAGCCACCTGCCTGCTTCTTCGCTGGCCTGACAAGAGTTCTCTCCAAAGTTATCAAAGTCCTCCTGTTGCCACATTCAACACTCTTCAGACTTCATTTAGCTCGACCTTCTCACAGCACTGACTGCCCAATGTTCTCTCTTTGGAGATGGACGTAATGTTCTCCTAGTTTTCCTTCCATCTTCTGATTGCTCGTAGATGGGGTTATCTATGTAAGCGGCCCTATCGTCCATCCAGGCCCAAGTCAGAAGCCTGGCTTTCTTCCCAGAGTCCTCATCCTCCCTCTCCATTTGCATTCATCAGGTCACCAAGTGCTGTCTTCCACAGATTTCCTTCTGGCTAACCCATATTTATCTTGCCCATTGCCGCCACCCTAGCTCCAGCCGCCATTACCCCTTGCCAGGATGAAAATCACTTTCTACTGGCCTCACTGCCTCTCACCTGGCCCTCCTCTCATCCACAGCACACACCAGGACCAAAGCAGAGTTTCTAATCCAAAGTACACATCTGAGAGTGGCACTTAGTTTCAATGCCCACCTACCTAAACCACCCTCGGAGGGCTTGCATTTTGAAACCCAGTCTCCTTAACATGGATGATATGACTCCTCCTGATTAGATCTTTGCTTATCTCTCTAACTGTATCTGTTCCCAATCCCCCTCAAATTCCAAGCTTTATATACCAAGCAGTTCCTCAAATTCATCATGCTTTGGGTGCTACTCACATAATTTCCTCTTGAACATTTAGCATCAACTGATTAAGTCTTATTCATGCTTCATGTCTCACTCTTCTGTAATTGACTGTTTACCTATGAGTCTTTGCTGGACTAAAGGCTCTCCAGAACCATGGACTTGAGGTCTCGTTCCCACTGCATTCGGTAACTATTTGCTCCCAATAAGCATTTGTTGAATAAACAAAGTTCTAATGAGATTAGGAGCAGGTTTGGCCAGCATGAGGGTGTGGGCAGGGGTGTGGATGGAAAAGCAGGTACACTGGGGAGATACAGAGTTCAAGCTGCCGGGGCACAGCAGTTCCAGTAACTGCAGTGTGCGGGGTGGGGCCAGCCAAGTGGCTGTTAGGCTGCAGTAGAAGTGAAGGTCACTGGGACAGAGAATAGGAGGGGACTGTGACCCAGTAGATCAGAGAAGTGGCACTTTCCTGCCTCAGGGAAAGTCAGGCACCTGGTGGGGTGGGAGGGGAGCCATAAGCCAGGCCCCTACTCCCTTTCACAGATGACCTGATTAAGGATGGGAGGTACCTTCATCCTAGGGCCCAGTCTCAAAGGGAAGAGGAAGGGGGAACGGGATGGTGGAAGATTTATTCGGGACCCTACTGACTTGAGGGGATAACACCAATGACACCCTGTGCCCCATGGGGACAGCACAGGAGAACAGTGGGACTCTGAGAGGGTTTCAAGATGGAGGGATGGAGGAACTTTGCAGAAGGCAAAAATATTTCTATAGAAATGGTTTTCCAGAGAACTCAACAGAAGGGTGTAGAAAGAGATCTCCACTGTAAATTCAAGTGGTCAAGTGACATGGCTCCTTCCAGTTTGCTTTCAGAATTTGCTACAAGTCCTGCTCCAGAAAGTTCTACTCTTCTGCAGCCACGATTCTCAGCTGTGGTAGGCTTATCCCACGGAAGAGAATAATCTAGAATGCTGCCTGACCCTTAGTGCAAAGGTGTCAAAGCCCTGCACATGGGGCTAGCCACACTCCCGCTGTCAAGTCACCTGGCTCTCCAACTAGCACCCCTTTTTCTTGGTCCCCCTCCCCTGTGCTGCTGATCCCAGCCATCCTGGGACTCCATGGCACTCCACCGACCCACCCCTTCCACATGGTCTCTTTCCTCCACTGCTCCCCTCCCTCCTCCCCACTCCACTGACGCATATGGTGCACACGCTCACCTCCCTTCCCCCTCTCCCTCCGTGGCATTGTCCAGCAAAAATAACCCTGGCGCAATCCCATTTCCCACCTTCCTGAGCTTGCACCTTCCCAGCAAATTGCAGACGGTAAAAATCACAGAATTACCCTGCTGGCTGGTCCTTCTCACTTTCTTCTCTCTCTGCCCTCTTGCACTCTGAGCAATGGCCCTGCTTCCTGTTTCACGGAGAGACAGAAGGCTCAGGAGGGCCTGGCCACCCACTGTGGGCATTCATCTGTCTGGTTTCTGCGTCCGTGCCCACATTTCCCCTCCTTTCCTGGTACCCTGAGTGAACACCACTTGGTACTCCAGAAAATGCCCGCCTTCACTAAATCTCCCCTCCCATCAGCCTAGAGCATGGTTCATGGTTTCTCTAGAGCCCCGTTCTTTCTGGAAGTCTTTCTATGTGTTATTCTTTCTTCAGCCCACTCCAAACAGGCTTTCCACTCACCTCCCCATTGAAACAGCACTGTGGTGCTGACACTGATGGCTGTGGGGCAACACTAGTAACCTAACTGAGCTCTTCACTGGCTCCCTTTTTCCAGAGCGGCCCATCCTCTTCCCTGAAAGGTGTCCCTGGTCTTCCACCAGATGTCTCTCTGACTCCTCTTCCCAGAACACTTTGTTGTTCCTTTTCATTTCTTGACCTCTTGACACTGGGGGACTTGGGTCTGTCCTTGGCTTTGCCCTTTACTAACACTCATCTCTAAATGATCTCATTGAGCCCTTCTGTTTTACCTACTCTGATGACTCCCACAATTCTATCCCAGCCAGGACCTCTCCCCTAACTCTGGATTTCCATGTCCAACTTCCTCCTCTCTGGGTGTACAGCAAGCAGCTCAAACTTACTATGCCTCAAAATAACCTCCTGAGTTCCTCCTTTCACATCGGTCTCTGTTGAAGTCCTCCCCACATCACCAAATTGTGCTTTAAATTTTCTTGAGGAAAAAAAAATTAGAAATCGGCCAAATCTTGGCAACTTTACCTTTTAAATGTGCTTGAAACCCACCATATCTCGTTGTGGTTTTGTTTTTTGTTTTTTGTTTTTTTTGGTGCCGGGGATCGAACTTGGGTCCTTGCGCAGCAGGCAGGAAACCACTGAGCTAAATCCCCAGCCCAACCATGTCTTTACTCTTCCACTGCTACTAGCCTGGCCCTAGCTGTCTTCTTTTGACTGGATTATTTCTCTCCTCTCTCTTTTGCAGGGCTGAGATGGAACCCAGGGCTGAGATGGAACCCAGGGCTGAGATGGAACCCAGGGCTTCATGCACACAAGGCAAGCACTGTACCACTGAGCTACACTCCAGCCAACTACAATATTTCATAGTCCCTAACTAGTGTTCTGGCTGAAATCCTCCCACACTTAAATCTGGTCTTCACACCATTGCTCACAAGACACTCAGAAATCTTGTTCAACTATAAGTTTAAAACAAAGAAACACATATGTACCAGATTCTTGCCAGCTGTTATCTTGTTCATCCCCATAAGCCTATGGCAGGTACTACTGTATCATAACACTTCTTCTTCTTTTTTTTTTTTTTTTGTACTGAGGACTGAACACAGGGCCTTCATATTAAGCTATATTCTTAGCCCTTCTTAATTTTCTTTTTAAAGACCGGGTCCTGCTAAATTACTAAATTGTCCAGGCTGGACTCAAATTGCAATCCTCCGGCCCTAGCCACCCAGCATGCTGAGATATAGGTGTGTACTACCATGTCCAACTCATATTTTATTTTATTTTATTTTATATTGCTTTAATGTGTGAGAAAACCCAGGCCAGGGACATGAAGTAGCCCATGGATGCTGAGTGGTGGCGCTGGGATTTAAATCCAGGCTGAATCTTCTTGCTCTGGAACATCCCCTCACTTGCTTTGCTGTCAAGAGATGTCAAAACGAAGCTATGTGCTCCTCTCAAGTGTGAAAGATTTGGTCTGCACAAAGTCAGCTCCAGGCCTTTAGTAGAAATAAAGCTTTATTAGGAGCTGAGACAGTGGACTTAAATTGCTCCAGGAAGAGTGCGTAGACGCCGGCCGGCCAGAGGAGCTGAGCAACAGTAAGTGGCAGATGGAGGAAGAGAAACTGGCCCCTCGCTCCTGCTTTTCCGAGGCCCCTGCGTTCCTGTCCCGCGCGACTCCGGCGTCCTGAGTCCGCCCGGCCGCCCGGGGGCGCGCGAGACCGGAGGGGGCGTTGCGGCGCCGCCCGACGTCGCGCCCTCGGCGACTGCGCACTGCGCAAGTCAAAGCCGGGCTCGGGCCGGGAGCGGGGCGCCCGGAGCGGCGCGGCCTGGGAGAGTCGGGTGTTTGAGGAGCCGGGAGAAGGCGGAGACGAAAGCGAAGGCGGCTGCGAGCCCCGCGGTAGCAGCCGCAGCCCGAGCGAACGCAGCAGCAGCGCGGCGGCCACCGCGGGAGCCCCTGGGCCGCCGCGGCCGCGGGAGCCTTCGCCGGGAGCAGCCGCGGTTGGAAGACAACGGAGGGGCCGAGCGCCCGAGCCGCGCCGCGAGGACCGAGCGAGCAGCCCGAGGCGGCGGCGGCCGAGGACGGGGACGGCGACGACGCGGAGGCGGAGAGGGAGCCGCCCGGTCCGGCCCGGCCCAGCCCGTGAGTGACCCACGCCCGGCCCTGCTGGCGGGGTGGACGCCCGCCGGCTTCCGCCTGGTCGGGGCCCCGGGCCGCCTCCATTTTCTCGGGAGGCGACGGCGGCCGGTGAGGGAGAGGGCCGGGCCCCGCCGCCTTCGGAGCCTTCGCCCGCTCCCCGCTCCCGGGACCGGCTGACGGCGTGGGGCGGCCTGGGCCGGGGTCGGGAGGGCCGGGCCTCTGTCACTGCACTGCGCCTGGGGCTCTGGACACCTCGCTCCCGGGCCCGGGGGGCTTCCCGTTGTCGGGAGGCAGATCCCACCTTTGTGGTCCTCATTTCGGGGCAATGCCTGACTGTTCTGTGGTTAGGGATTGTGCGGCCTGCGCGTTCCCGAGTTCGGTGGAAGCAGCCCGAGCGCTGCCTGTGTGCCGGCGCCGGAGTCCGCGCCACAGGGACTCAGAGGTGAACCTGGCCCCGAGGTCCCTCCTCCCGGGAGCCTACCCTTCCTGTGCTGTGAGAGATAAGACGAGTACACAAATAGCCACGATACCAGGAAAGAGGCCCCGTGAAAGAACTACAAAGTGTGAGGAAGGTACCTGGGCAAGACCTGAGCCGTGGATCGCTTCCGCCTTAGCCCAAATCTGGAAGACTTCCTGGGTGAGGCAGTGCCCGCCCGGGTCTTGAAGGCCTGGGGGGATTTAAGAGAGGAGAAGGGTTGCAGAAGAGACTGTGGAGCAAAACTAGAGGACAAAGGTACAGACAAAAACGTAGCATAGATATCAGAGATAACTCAGTTTATTGTCGAGGGCCGGGATCGAATGGGATGAGGTGGACTGAAGAGATATTTTGGGACCAGATCCTTGAAGACTTTAGGAGAAAACTGTTGAGCGGTGTTCTACGGAAACCCAGAGCTGATTTTTCAGTGACTTCGTGAGCCCGGAAATGTAGGCTAGGGTATATATTGAAAGGAGAGAGTCCCCAGTCCGGAGCTGATATTCTGTCCTTCGAACATAATAGCTTGAGATCGATTTTGACAGCTTCCAGGATATTTAAGTAAATCTATGTCCAAGCCAAGCAAAGTGCCTTTTGCCGAGAGCTTCATTAGACGTTAAGCTCTTTAGAGATAATGGGAAAATGTCTATAAAATAGCTCATCTGTACCCAGAGGCCTTTCTGTTGGGGAGTTCCCTAGAATGAATCAAAACTTCTTGTACAATGTATTAGGTGTCTGCACTTTGGAATTACTAAGTTAAACCTACATTACTTCTTTGATATGACATTTGTGTTAAATAATCTGAATTTTTAAATGAAACTTAATACTCTAGGATAGAAAGTTGGACATAAACTTTTTTTCTAGGAAGATATCACAATATTAATTTTTATTCTGAGTATCTGTAAAGGACAGTCAGAAGTAAAAGATTTTAGCTCTACTATGTTGTTTTTTGAAATTAGTAGCAAATAATTAGTACTTGTATTTGAAATTTAGAATGTATGAGCTGTGGAAGTAGCTTAGAACCAGTGTTGGTTTTATAAGCACTTACGTTCTTATTTTTGTGTGTATGACAAGTGAATGTCAACTTTTTTCAGTTTCAAATATTTATCAAAGTATGATCTTTGTAAAAAGCTTAGAAAACACAAAATATTGGAGATTTTTAAAGAATTGCCTTCTTATTCTTATCATTTGGTTACTGTTAACATTTTTGCTGATTTCCTTACCAGTCTTTTTCTATGTATATTTTCTATACATAAACATACAATGTGCATTTATATACATATATTTCTTTTCTTAAGCATTTTTGTCATTAAATGTCTTTGTAAACTTTTTTTTTTTTCAATTTTACCTAAGCAAGGGAACTCTTACAAGTATTTTTTTGTTTTGGTTTTTTGTCTGAAAAGATTACATTATTTACCTCAAATGAAATGTAGTAGTCATGTTTAGTAATTGCTACGAAGACAAAACTATTTTCCTTGTTTTTCCCTGGTACTGGGGATTGAACCCAGAGCCATGCTAGACAACTACTGTGCCACTAAGGTATATCCTCAGCCTGGGTGGAACTTCATTTTGGTGTCGATATGGGGTCTCATCACGTAGTCCGGGTTGGCACTGAACACACTGTAACCTCTGAGCTCTTCATCTTCCTGCCTCAGCCTTCCAAGTGGTGAGATTGTACACACGCAGAACTTTTTCTAAAGGCTTCTTGTTTGAAGAACATTAATTAACTTCTGTATAAGTTCGTATTGTTCATTAATTTTTTTTTTTTATGGTACTAGGATTGAACCCAGGGCCTTGTACGTGCTAGCTACGCACTCTACCACTAAGCTACATCCCCAGCCTTTTTTTATTTTGAGGCAAGTTCTCACTAAAGTTGCCCAGGCTGGCTCCAACTTTCAGTTTTCCTGCCTCAGCCTTCTGAGTAGCTCAGATTACAGACATGTGCCACTGCACCAGGCTTGAACACTTTGTCATTACTTGGTGGGATGCATGTGACGCTAAGGTTGGATATATGTGTGAGTGGATGTATTTTTAGAAGGGCATTGTGAAAAGATGACTTTCAGGGCTGGCGTGCAGTCTCCACACACTGGCCAAGCAGCAACCCCCCCCCCCCATAGTATCTACACTAGAGTTATCCATATAAACACTCAGCTGGATGTGGGTATTTTTGGGGGATGTGTTTTTTAATTGCCACTTTCTTAA